TATATATATATATATATATATATATATATATCGTCCTTCAGTTCCAATTATGTTTCATCCGCAATCAGGCACACCAAGTTGTGTTTCTTGTCACCATAACCTTTTCGAAGCAACGCTTGCACTGAGCCCTTGTGTTGCATTGCCCTGCCCAGCCTTGACTTCACCTTTATTTCGTTGTTTGTACAGTTGGTACATTTAACTCTCGCAATACAGTTGCTTAGACAAGGGGATGCTGCGTAGCTGTTTGTGCATATCCTATGAGGGTGTGATCGCCACTGGGCGTAAATATAAATAATGGGCCCTAGTGGTGCCTACATATGCGTTGTTGAGAAACAAAGTGCATACATTGTGCAGTACGTTACAGTTCTATCGCGGTGGCGAGTGTTCATGATTGCAGAGCAGGCGTGGCAAAACTGTCACGCACACAACAAGGTTCACAAGACGATTAACAAAGGCCGAATTCAGTTCTATATTTCTAGCGTGCCACAGCCCTCATGAGAAGGATATTTTCATGTAGTCCCAGCGCCTAGAAGCGGACGGAATGTGAATGCCCTTCAAAGTCGTTTCACCACCCCTATCCCGTGGTGTATCGAAAAGGTGTTCACAGGTATCATCATGGACGTGGAAGGTCCAATAAAGCATGGAAAAACTGATATTCAAAACAGTGAAATAAATTGAGCTTTAAATCAAAAATGGAGCCTCATGAATTGTAGTTTCAAAAGCCGTAACGAAGCACAGAAGCCAGCGCATGCGTAAGTGGTCGCTGTGTGGTATTATGTCCGGGTCGGTGTTTCCCGTAATGGTGATCCGGCTATTTTGTAGTTCATCCTTTTTCCAAAAACAACAAAAGCATCAGTAAACATCCCTCAACGGAAGTGGGGTGAGGCATATGGGGAATATCGGCGTTTTCCCTAATCCTCATTGCCTGGGAGATTCACCTTGGTTATTCCGTGAACGTCTGGAGAAAAATCCCCCAAGCAAGCTGAAATACTCATTGTGCCCATCCTGGCTATATGAAATTATCCGCATTTTCGCTTTTTCGACATATTCGCTGCACGTTTAACTGCCCAAATAAAGCCTCCCTGGAGGGCAAAAACGCAGAAATTCTCTGAGCCACGTGGTGTGCTGAATGAGCTCTTCTTCGATTACAGAGGAATACCTAAACGACTGCGTTATAAGTGGCTACTGCAATGCTCAAGACAGCTGCTGACTCCAGACCATGGGTGGAGAAGTAGTACGTTATGCATACCTCACCGTTCCAAAATATGCCACCACTCTTTTCTCCGGAACACATGTACAGCGATTATAGTGGATGTAGAAGACTCTGGTGTGTTTTTCTGCAGCCGTCCACGGAAAGTAGCGGATGTTTCGCAGCAGGCCGAAGCAAAGCGACTTCTCTCCCGCATCATTGAAACCGGCAATGTGAGGCATTCCTATCTTCACACCAACGCATTTTGCTTATTTTTTCCAACATTCCCGGAAATATTTAAAGGGACTTTCTTTCCGCTCTATATAAAACTGCATTTCGACAGAGTGTGTGCAACTGTGCACTCAGATGCCTCATCTGCTGTTTTTCGGTCCACCTGGATCCGGGAAGACGTCGGCGGCGTTGGCGCTTGTAAAGGAGCTTTTCGGGTATTTGATAGAGGCGTTTCTATGTTTCATGCCCTCTGCAAACAACATCGTGGCGAGGCAGTCACTTGACCTTCCCCCACTCAATGCCATACTGAATACGTGTGGGAGGGCTTGTGCGATGTTCTTTTCAGCCGAGAAGAAGCCAAGACAAGACTGCTGGAGTTAAATGCTTCAGACGAAAGAGGTGGGCTTGCTTGTGCTGTTGTGCACTATCACTATCATGGGGCAGAGGGTTTCTCTCCTGCGCGCTGTTGCAATGGGCATTGTCGATGGTCTGTTTACGCTTTGCAGGCATTCGAGTTGTCCGTGAGAAGATCAAAAAGTACACGAGGACCAATACGCCCAAGGGGAAGATAAACCCAGAAACGGGAAGGTGGGTGGGTGTGGGTGTGTTTCTGGGTGGGTGGGTATGGGCGGGTGTTTTTTTTTTTTTTTTTTTTTTTTTTTTTTTTTTTTTTTTCCGGGGAGGGGGGGAGAGGGGTATTGAGGGTGGGTTCCTTATTGTCTGTGGGCGGGTGGGTGTCAGTGTGCGTGTCTGCCTCTGTGTATGCGTGCGAGATTCTTTCCATTATAGATGGCCATTCCTCACCTGGTTAAATGTGCGTACATGCATAGATTATGTCAACATATTCAAATTCCGTGCATATGTTTTATTACGTACATCGTTATTCTTGTCGTATTCTGTTTACCTTCGTTTGCAGAGAAATGCCACCTTGGAAAATTGTAATACTTGACGAAGCCGACATGATGACGCCTGATGCGCAGGCGGCCCTGCGACGTATCATGGAAGCACTGGCGAGAAACACCCGGTTTATTATCATTTGCAACTATATACACAAGTGTGCCTCTGTATATCTTGTCTTACCTTGTGCAAGCACAGCTGCGTGTATATATGCAGCTGCACTATCAAAGTCGAACCTTGCGGGTTCTCGAAGAATACATCCAGCTACGCTATGATTGCAGAATCGCTCGGCGTAACGAGTATCTGCTGGTGCTGCACATTAGTCGTAATTACTTGCTGTACTTGAACCCATTTCGATAGATGTAATGAGCATAATGCTTACAGTGATAGTTTGGGCCAGTCCTTGTTTTTTTTTTTGCAGGATCATAGACCCTCTCTTCAGCAGGTGTTCTCCGCATCGCTTTGAACCTGTGCGCTGTAACATGAGTTTAAGTGGCCTCACTAGCATATTTAGCAGTGGAAACGCCCGTTTTGCTCCCTTTAATATGGGAATGGCAACCTGTACGTAGATTGTGCATTTACCACACGCTTTGGAAAAAGTAAACTGTACAAATATTGCTTTCAACTTGCACTTCTTTTTGCAGGTGTCCGCTGATGCACAAATAGAACGTCTTCAGATGATCTGCAAGGCAGAAAACTTGAATGTTGAGGAAGGGGCACTTGCTCGTCTGATAGATCTGACTTGTGGCGATTTGCGGCGGGCAGTGAATCTCCTACAGGTTGGCGGTTTGCGTAAACACAGGAAGCGATGCAGAGTGAAATGCTGTGTCTATATTGCCAGCTTAGCTTAGGCTAGCCTTGCAGCGGTGGACCGGCTGAATGCTGAGTACTGTGGAGGCGCTTGTGTTGCAGTCAGCAGCGGGTATTCACCAGACGATCACAGAAGATGCGATTCTTGAGGTTGCTGTCGTAAGTCCTCGCCACTATTTCAAATGCAGCTAAGAGAATGCAAGGCTTAAACGTGCACGTAGGGTATTCCTGTATTGCCTCCATCACCTTGTTCTCTTTGTGAATTCAACGTTTTGTGCTCCTGCATGCATCTATTTCGCCCCCTTGTCCTTCTCAACAGCACCCTCCCTCTTACGTCGTTCAAAGCGTCCTCACTGCCTGTGCAACTTCGCCGGAAGCGGTGAGTCGCACAGTTGTTCATTGTTTGAGTTCGTACTGCATTTAGAGATGCATTATATTGCTTCTGTCTGAATAGATATTAGTGGACACAAATAGTCGGCATGCGTAAGTACATGCAGGCATGTGCATCTATCTGCAACTTCCTCCGTTGAAAGCGCATACGTGCCTTATTTCTCTAACCTCATTTCTAGGTTGCCTGCTGATTGCGTTTCTTCGCATGCATAACGGGCTGTTTCATGCTAGCCGTTCTGTGGCTTCGACGTTGCGGTGTTGCTTATGCATCAGGTGAATGAAATTGCCGAAGAAGTGACAAATCAGGGTTGGGATGTCGCGCTGTTGCTGCAAGAGGTGAGGGCAATACGCACATACGCCCTGTCTGCAGCGTTACCCACGAATATTTTGACATACATATATAGGCGCCACAGTTCACTACAAGTGGTGCTGAGGCAGAGACATGAAAGCGTTCGTTTGCGCTCCATGATGCACTTAGACATTCTTAGGCGCCTTAACACCGATCTATTTGTTTGTGAGAACGGATGGCGGTGCAGATGGTGACAGAAGTTGTCAAGTCAGACAGTCTGTCGGATTTGCAGAAAGCGACAATACTTCACGAGCTCGGCTCCGCAGAGTTCGCCGTCTTGCAAGGCAAGCAGCCATAGGCTATCTATATCAGATATGCAAAAAACGTTGCTGGAGGTGGTGAACGTATCGTATTGCGCCAAGTAGGGGGTGTAGGGTTTAGGCTTAATCGGTGTCTCCCGTCTGGATTGTGGTTGTGCTTGCCAGGAGCCAATTCTTTACTGCAGCTTCTGTCGGCTTGCTTGAAGATTCAAGCAGTGCTGTTGCAAGCCTGAACCCATTGTTCAGAGAGCAGCCCGAATTTAGAGCCGATGTGCTCTCTAGTCGACTAGCTACAATCTCAAGGTTCGACCGCCAGTTGCGCCGACACGAGTCAACCGCGTTTGTTGGTTTCCGAGTGAGGCATCGTCCGCCTCAAGGGTGTGTAGGAAGAATGCATCCCGCAAAGGTCCAGCAGTGCTGCCTACAAGCAGACCGCTGGTATTCATGCACAGTCGGGGTATTGGCAGAGTAGCCCACAAGCCGCGAGGCCATTTCATTAGAGCAAGTGCTCGAGACTTCAACAATCGGACCTGACCCATCTGGAATTTGTTTCCATATCTTTCACAACACGTCTGCACACTTTCTAACCCCCGTATGACGACGGCAGGCCCTTGAGATATATACTAACAGCTGGCATACAACATCCACGCTGTGCTAAGTGGCAGCTTTTATGGGGCACCAGTGTCTTAAAATAATTTTCTCATTACAAAATACATATATCCCACGACATCCTACTGCGTAGAAAAAGTAAACTGTCTTTCGCCTGCAAGCTGCCGCTGTTTTGTTACTCAGCAGGAGACGACTGCAGAATGTGTAAAAAGATATACAGATCGATATCCTCGGTGAGGAGGTAGTGGCAGCAGTTGTTTTGGTGTAGCGTCAGAGCCACTTCTACCTCATGCAGATGCACCCTGGTGCAAAATGCCAGCAGAGAACGAGAATATCCCAGTTGTCTGTACGCCCTCCGCAGATCATTCGGGACTTCTCCCTACATCTGCTGTGGTCAGTGCTGTCTTCTCGCTTTAAACACATGTGTAATCGTTCGTTCGTGCACAGCACGGAGGTAGCAGCCCGCATCCTCAGAAACTTGGGACGAAGCGCTCCGTTAGACCCTGCTTATGCAGGGCTGCTCTGTATTCTGCAACTTGTTGCTTTATGATGGCCAAGCGAGAACGCACGCCAACAAAGTGTCGGTTATCCTTCAGACTTCCCATGGAACGACTTGCATGCGCCATTGCCGACTCGATCTGCAAAAGCAGATCTGTCAGCTGCTGTGCTGCAACATCTGCTCTCGCGCGCTCCTCTTCATTCAACTGCAACGAGCAGCGCATAATCAAAAAACAAAGACGACCGCAACTAAAACACACATTCGTTATTCAGAAACATCGACGACACACACTGCTTTCTACCGCAACTGTCGATTTGGGTTGCTTCCTCTCCTTATTGGTGCAAGCCAAGGGCAGCACAGTCGCAAATCCCCTTAACCCTGGCATACCTGAGACCAGAGAGGGACGCTAACTGGCGACCCAAAGTATGGCAAATCTCCCGCTTCTGTCAACTCGTGCAGAAGTCCGACGTAGGTCGAAGCGGTACCCACGTCGTCCTGACTCGTCAACCACTGGTCAAAAATCCAGCAGAAGACGGTCTGCAGACCAGCAGAGTCCAGGCAACTCTGCTGCTTTGCAAACTCGTCCTGAAGCAACCACAGCACAACACAGAAGTAAGGATGGGATAAAATGGCGTCTTCCTCAGCGATAACTTCTTCATTCTGCAGACGCTGAACAATCCAGCTACACTTTGCGCCTTGAACGTGGACGCGCATTACCTCTTCGAAAGACAAGTAAAGGCCAACAAGAGTGTCAAACGATTGCCCGCATTCCACCATGCGCCAGGCAGGCCACAGAAATGGAGGAATCTGTATGGGCTCTCCTTCCGCATTCATCATAGTGACCTCTCTGTTGCCCCATTGAGTTCGCGCATAAACGTGCAGCACCACAGAAAGCCGCTTCAACGATCTGCTGCAGCTCTCCCGTACGGCAATATCCGGCAAGGCTAGCAGGTCCTTCAGCTGAAACGCAACAGTGCAGTGCAAACCCCACGGGGCACGAATCTCCTGCTGGCTTCAAGGGACCCCACCTACTATTTTGGAAGTCGTCTTGCACATTCAATCTACCATTTAATGCTTACAGCGTCGGACAAAATACGCGGCTGCTGCAAAACCTTGGAAGCGGAGGCCCCGAAGGAGAGGAACGTCATGCATGCGTCGTCGAGAGCAGCACGGGCAACTTCTTGTTCTTCTGGAAATGCCCCTAAACTACGAGCAGCTGCGCTTGCGACTCGCTGTCCATGCAGGCGCAGAGCCGCGATGGACGGGAAGTCCGGACCAACGAGTTCAGCTACTCCGCAGTCATTTATCTGCGAGTTCAGCAAATCCAGCAGCTCTATAGGAGCATAGACCACTCGCTGTAAATCTACCAGCAGCGACAGCAGTGACCGGCAATGATCCTGCACAAAAACAAACCAACCTTGCCAGTTTGCCTTCATTGCATTGGCCTGCTTTCTCCGGTTGCTCCCTTGGCAATATACCTGCCTCGTGAAAGTCAACCCCAACACAGGGAGCTGCCAAGCAGAAAGCATTCAAGTAGTCGACATCCGAGGAGAAGAGAACACCAACAGCAGCAACAGCAGCCCTCACAGCAACAGGACTACAAGCAGCTTGCTGTAGAGAGACAAACCAAACGGTAGTAAGATGATGTTCTGAATTGCAAAATATTCCCGCACATTATTCTCCCCCAAGATGTGGGGCTTACCAAGTGACTGTTACTTTTCCGCACTGATGTATCTGCAGATCCCCGAGCAGCATTTGAAACTTCGATGCAAAACGCTTGAACGTCATCAGCTGACACGGCCTGATTATTAGCTGAAGCCGACACTACGCCAGATAGCAGAGCGCGTTCCTTCTTAACCGATTGCAAATGGGTTACCACCAAGACGCAAAACAAATGAGCGGTGTCCCGCACAAGGGCTCGCTGAATACCGACCTGATGCAAACATACGAGCAAAGAAACACTTATGGACAGTACAACTTAGGCCCTACACAATATGCCGTGAAAACATAATTCCACTTTGGCTTCACGTAATCCTTGCATCTGCGTTGAAACCAAAGCGCAAATGCCGCTGCAACACTCCTTCGGGTTTTCCTCATTTTCAAACTCCTCAACCCCATGAACCACCCGAACGCCACCTCCCTCATTCACTCAATGAGTTGCCAGGAAACACGAGACAAAATTAACCCGTTCAGCCATCATATATGCCAGCAGCAGGCACGCTGTGAAGTGAAACATGTGAAGAGAACCTCCTTTTGATGCCGCACCATTCGGATGTTGAGGTCAATTTGCCTTATCGAGTTTTCAAGAGGTGTCGGTGAAGAGCTGTCCGTGGACTCATCAAAACCGATATCGCCGGAAAGGGAAAGCTTTCTTGCTGCAAGATTGCACCAAGACAGGTGACACATTTCGATCGATGGTATTTCCACAAATGCATGCGATCTGTAGACATTGTAATAACTATCTAATAGAAATAAAAGACAGAAGGCCTCAGTACGACGCACAATATAGTGCGCATGATTTTGTCTCACTGGAACTGCTCGTCCGTTCTTTCGCTGCAAAGCTGCGAATCCCAGGCTCGGTCTGCTCAGAGGACTGCTGGAGGAAATTTTGCGCATTTTCCTTTGCCTTGACGAAGTGGAGGAGCCGTCGATCTAAAGACGGTTCTTGCGAATGGACCTTCACCCAAGAAGCCAGGAACTGCCAAATCGGTTGTGTGATGCTGCAACAAAAAGCGTCGATTTCTGCATCAAATGCTAACAACGTGGTTATATCATCTGCCGATTCGCCGCCTTCTCCAGTACCACGCGGCACTGATGCTCCTGAAACACCGTCTCGAGCAAGGATTTCCCCTTTCTCGCCCACCCACTGCCGCAGGCCTTGAAGGCTATGGCACTTGGCAGCCTGTAGGCGCAACATCATTCACGGGGAGGCGATGAAGATGAAAAAAAAGCCAACGTGCACACGAGAAAAAAGAGCCGACGTGCACACAAGAAAAAAAATGCCAACGTGCACATACACAGAAAAAGAAAGTAGACAAGTAAAACCGGATCTATATAAATATATCAATGCAAATAGAAAGCGCGCCTCTACTCGATGCGATGCAGCTGCAGGGCTCCCCCATGGCCCACAATGGAAATGCTAGACATATAAATATAGGCACAAAACAGCTGAACGCTAAACATGGCGATAATAGGCAGCAAGTGCTCCATACCTGTGCATACAGGCCTGAAGCCGCATATCGGTCTCCCAAGTCGATCGCAAACTTCTCGTCGCTTTGCGCGAGAAGCCGATCGGCCATGGGGCCGTCAATGTGAAGAAGAGCAACTGGGAAGTTTTCTGCAAAAACGGTGCACTCATAAGCTGTGGTTAGCATGTATACATGCAGGCATGAAGGCCACAACACCGCTAACTGGATCTGCTGAATATGCAATCAAACGAAGCCAAATAGGCCCCTTAGCAAACGTGCACGTGTTCATCCCATTGCGGGTGCAAGTCTTGCAGTGTTTCTGCTGCAGTGTTTGAAGGGAGCAAAAGTTAGGAACCCGGATCTCAGTCCCTGCTTCCGAGTTCTGTCTCACTGCCTCCATGACTAGCAATCCAGTCCACGACGTAATTGTGGAGGTTTTCATCACTGCTTGCGAGACATGCGTTCACGAGAGCAGCTGCACAAGCTTTGCTACTCTGGTGTACGTCCAGAGTTGCACTCTGTACACTTTCTGCTTTCTTCTTCTCTGCTTCACTAGGCGTTGCATCCGCTGCGTCCTCCTCAAACTCTTTACAGTACTGCGCGAGGCACTCCCCCACATGTCGGTAGCAGCTTGAAACCCTGCAATGCACGCATGCAAGCATATGCACACAAATGCAAACCAGCGCATGTTGTGCGCATACATGCATGCAGTAATGCAGTGCACACAGCAACGCAACGCTTTGCACCCCTCTCCTCCCGGCCGACTCAACGATGCACCAAAGCCACAGGGCGACTGTACACATGCGCAGTAAGCCGATACAGAAGAGGTCTAGGGCATGCGTGTTCCATCCCAATTCCCCCGTCGACAGGAGGTCCCTTAAATATATGTAAAGACACCGCAGGCGGCAGCGCAAGGCAACAGCCATGAGCCCTGACGCACAAAGTGTTCTGAATGCCAGCGAGTTGCTGGGTGGACTCGGGAGCCAACGACGGCCACTTTGGCCTCCTGCCCAATGCATATCGGCTGAAGTTCGAGACGAGACTGGCGGCCTTCGCAGTCACAACGTCCACAAGAAGTCTGCAGAACAGCGCCAACACAGCCGATCAAGGCGAACGACCAAACCCGTACTAAACCCTTGTCAGTGATACTAATATTACTACTAATATTATTAGAGTCAGTTTTAGGCTGAATGGATCAGCTAGCGGCAGACCCTCCAGCCAGCTGCAGCGCGTTGCGGCTAGCTGCTCCGCGAGTTGTCAAATGATCAGATAAAGTACTTGCAGTGTGAAAGCGACGCACCCGTAGAATCTGAGGGAGTTCAGAAAAGCGACGAGACCTTCTATTGGAAGGAAGAGAAGCCTGGGCATGAGGTGTTGGTAGACAAACTGCTGAACTTCGCCTAAACTGGCTGCCGTCTGACTGTCAAGGCGTTCGTTCACCTTCCGCTGCAACTGCAAATAAAGCATCTGTGCCTCCAGTTCATCCTTCCTGCGCAAAGTGAGAAAGATGAGCAAAATGCAGCAATTATCACCGTCGGCTGCTGTGATGAACACAGAGACATGCAGCTCGTGAACATCTACAGCCGCAGACCCTGAGAAAAAGGGAAGCCTCCATAAGTATCTGCATGAATGTAAGACTAAAGAACACCATATGCTATCCTGATCAATTTCTCGTCCACTAGCCCTATGCGACCATCTTATATACCATTCTGCTGCGTCATGCTCATCAAATCTTATGCATCCTCCTGCAGAAGAGGGTGGACTAAAAATGAAAACTCACGTAAACAGTGCCCCCGTGCAAAGACGAGACAAAAGGGGATTGCCAAAGGCAGCCGTCTCAAACACCACCTGCCGAAAGCTCTCGCGAGCCTCCACGGATGTGCATCTGAGAAGCACAAATGGCAAAAGCAAAGAGAAACAAGTTATTGAACTTGTAGCTGAATCCAGAAGAACTGTGCAGTCAACATACGTAAAGCAAAAACCGGATAAGCATGCAGCACCCAAACAGAATCAGCCATCACGAAGATATCCCCCAGCACATTTCAGCTGGATACTCACCATGGAGATGGAGAAGCGATCAGCTAAACAGTGAAGAAAAGACCGGCAAACACTAAGCTGGCTAAGAGATAGGTTTAGCTACAGATGTGCCACAACAAACGAGTTGGCTTCATGTACAGCTCATGAAAGGGGTACACGCTAGACCGAAGCAGCAGCAGCAACCGGAATTAACGAAATGCTTCAATTCTTGAAGGGCATTTCATGCGACAAACCGCAGGACGAGCAAAATGTCCACACGCAGGAGCTTTACACCTGCCGGGGTTTCCATTTTGTATAAACTATGTCAAACAGAACAGGGAGAACGTAGATGCATGTTTTTTCAAACGGCCATGCAAGCATGCATGCAGACAATCCTTGTGCGTGCAACCATGTAGACAGCCCGTGAGCATGTGCATGCATGTACGATCTTTGCAATTCCCGTGGAGGTTTTTGACGCTCACAGGTCGGTAAGCGTTAAAGAAAGAAGACTGTCGAACAGACGAGCAGATATGCAGCGACTCGTGCCCATTTGCACGGAGTACTCTGCCTGCTGCATCAACAGCTGATACGCAGTCAGCATCTCAGAGGCAGTCACCAACACGCGACTAACCCCGTACTGCAAGCGTACAAGCAACAGCAGCACAACACGCAACAAACTCAAATGCTGAAACCGCAGCAGCAGCAACAGCAGCCAAGCAGCAAGCACGTCCCGCGGTTTTCGAGGAAGCTTTTGGCCGTCGATTTTTGCAAAAAGACAAAACGGACCAGGACACTGAGCTCCACAGCATCGCCTAAAGGAATCAAGCCCCAGATGATGTCCTGTTGCTCAACCTCTGCAGCTGAGGGGCCGACAGTGCTCCCGAAGGGTCCCCCCTCCAGATAAGGAACCCCGGACAACCGCAGTGCGGCGAAGTGAGGCGGCAACCCGCGGTTAGGCAGACCCCAAGAAGCACCTCGGGTCAGCTGCTGCTGCTGCTGCTGGAGCGACGCTCGTTGTCCAAAAGAAAAGAAAAGCGTCGTGTACACCGCATCAAGGACCTGCAAACGAACCACAAAAGTAGCAGCAAAAACAGTAGCATCGGCCGCAATCGTAAAATCGCTAATAAAAACGGTTGAAGGCACCGTGATTATCGTAGTTGCCTCTGCGGCTTTAACTGCTGCAGCAACACCACCACCACCTGCTACCATTACAGCAGCAGCACCTGCTGCCGCTGTAGTGGTTCAGACTGGTATTGATCACCTCGTATAGAGAAGCAATTTTGTATAGCAAACGCGAGACCGCCTCCGCTGAGAATCGGCCAACGAGGCAAGCAGAAAGTTTGCGCTGTTGTGCCACCCCATGCAACTCTTCGTGCTGCCACTCGAACTCGCGTCCTCTCTTCCTGCTGCCGCCATCCCGCCGCTGCGGATGCTGCAGTTGCTTGTGCTGCTGATCGTCGCGTTCAGCGCGCACCAGGCCACAAGGCAGCAGTGCAGCTTCAACTAGAGGAGTTCCCAAAATGGGCCTCAGCAGCCGCGAAGCAAACAGGATAAGGCCACGAGCTGTGTTCGTCAGGCTCTGCAAAGGGGCCCCGACGTGGGCCCCAAGCTGCTGTGAGGCAACTCCAGCAGACGCCTGCATCAGGGTACCTCCTGCGGAGACACGCATACAACACGCAGCAATATGTTAGCAGCAGAGCAACAGCGGGGCGCTGGCTGCGGCAAACCCATGGGGACCCCGGCAGTGAGGGAATATATAAAAAAAGAAAAGAGTAAACTGCAAGCATGGGGGCAGGAACACTGCATGCAGAGAGCTAGAAACACAAACAGCGCGAACCTGTTTGTTGAGGAACAGTCTGCTGTTCCTGCTGCTGGGGAGGACAGCCAAGGGCTCTGGAACCCCAGGCCTGCTGTTGCAGGTTTTGGTTGTGCAGCATGCTCTGCTGTTGGAACTGCTGTTGCAACATGCTCTGCTGCTGTTGCTGCTGCTGCTGTTGCAGCGCGAAGGGTAGCAAGAGGTGGTCACTGCTAAGCTCTGTCCCCAAGTGCGTTGCTGCCTCTCTCCGTATCTCGAGGGCCGTCAGCATGCGCCAGGCTACAGCAACACCCGTAGTCTTCTCCTGACTCTGCTGGCCCCCTGCAGCAGCAGCAGCAGTTGCCGCTGCTGCTGAACTCAACCCCACGCCACTGCTGCTGCAGGCAGATGCCCCCTTTCCCACGGTTGCAGCAACCTGCTGTTGTTGTTGTTGTTGCTGCTGCCGCTCGGAGCCCTCTATATACCCCAGACCGAAGGGAGTTTCAAAGGCCCCGGGAGCCCCTCCCCCTAAGGCCCCCCCAGCTTGGGAGAGCTGCGACGCGGACAGCTGCTGGAATGCAAGCCCCTTGTTGGTTCTGGGGGCCCCCATTTGTTTGCTGAGGAGGTTCCACGTTGGCGTCAGCCCCTCGGGGGATCCCTGGAGGGGCCCGGCGCTTGCAGTACTTTGGAATGCTGCTAAGCTGGGGGCATTGTCTGCCAGCAACTGCCAGAACACAGCAAACATCGCACCACAACCGAATTGTCCCTCTTCGCACATGTGCTCCGCAAGCAGCTGACCTAGCCGCAAGGGTCCGCTGCGCTGCGGCCCCACAGACCACAGTGTACCCCGATCCTGCTCATAGTGCTGCTGCTGCTGCTGCTGGAACAACTCCTCGTAGCCGTGAGGGCTCCCAACCCGAGCGTAGGGGTTCGCCGATGTGGGCGCCAGTGGCCCCTGTACACCCTCTCGAAGCAGACTTCCCAGGCCAGCCACGTAAATGTGGCTGATTGTCTGCCTCCGCAGCTGCAGGACAAATTTGGTTGTCAAAATCAGCAACTTGGGGGCCCCACAGAGAGCCCCTGCTGCTGCGTCGCTCTGAGCAGACGGCGGCTGTACTACTGGGAGCGAACTCAGCAGAGCCCCCCGCCTCCGCCTGCTGCTGCTGCTTCCGTATGTGTGGCTGTTGCTGAGCCCGTCGGCCAGCTTGTGGTGCCCAGAATACCCCCTGTCTGCTGCAGCACCAGCACGAGCAAAGGGATCCATCCCGTAAGGGAGGGATAGCCACTGGCGACGCTTCCGCACATCGAAGGGAGAAGGCCAAATGCTGCTGCTCTGCTGCAACACTCCGAAGGCAGGCGTAGCAAAGGGCTCCACCACCTGCAGCACCCGCCCCGCCTCCTCCCCCAACTGCATGCACGTATACCATTCACTGCACACAGACGGGTACCCGCTGCTGCTGCTGTTGCTGCTGTTGCAAGTGCTGCTGCTGCGAAAGCCGGCCATAGGCACTCCAGAGCCGCCCACTGCTGCGTGCAGCCTCGCAGACGAAAAGAAGTAACCGCCAGGTGGAGTTGGGTCGGGCGCTGATGCTGCTGCTGTTGCTGTTGCTGCGCCGCTGCTGCTGCCGGTGCTGTTCCCATGCTGTAGCAGTGCCAGTGCCCTGAGATCTGGCGCTGCAACTACAAGGACATCTCCGCCATTGGTGCTGCTGCTACTAGCAAGGGCAGGTCCGAGGACGTCTGCTACAGCAGCGGGTCGGCTCCTGCAGCAGCAACAGAGGAAGCCGCTGTTGCTGCTGTTGCTGTTTCCAGTTGCGATACCGCCGCCTAAACCCTCTTCACCTTCCGGAGGCTGTGGCCCCAGCACACACGGCGCTCCGAGATAGCAAGAGGTGCTGCAAGAGCTGCATCGGGAGTTCTTTTCGCTAATGCTGCAGGGTCCTGCACTGGGGGCTCCCTGTGGCCCCACTGTGGCTGCGTTGCTTTCTGGCGGCCCGCTGTGGGGTGGCGCGTACGCACTGACGAATACTCCTGCAGCAACTGCAGCGCAGCGAAGGCTACCTGATGCAGCAGCACCAGGCTGCTGCTCTACGGCCCCTCTGTAGCCATGAACTGCGAGAGAGAGATGGGCAGGAGGTGCCAGGGCGGCAGCAGCAAAGCAGCGGTTGACGCTGTTGTTGTTGCTGCGGATGCCCCGGACGGAGATGTAGAGCCGGCCGCCTTTAAAAAAAAACAGCAAATAAAGAAAATGTAAACAAATGGAAGAAGGCCGCAATTCGTGATATGCCAGAAAGCATGCAGCAGCAAATGCAGGGAAGTGACAGACGGCAGAAAAACGGATAATGCAAATGAATGATTAACGCATTGATACTGTTGCAAGGAAGATGAAACAACGCATAAAGGAGCAAACGGAAGCTCTGACAACGGTTAACACAGTCATAGGAAGCTAAATATAAATAAACCTAGCGTTGAGAACAAAAGAAGAAATCAAACAGACCTCAGACAGGGCAACGAAAGGAGAGACGTGACGGACACGCGCGAGACAAAGAGACGCAGCCGCAAACAGAGACAGTCAATGAGAAAGAGGAATCAACGGAGGTACAAAAAGAGACACAGCCATAACAAATAGCCAACCAAATGCTATAAGATGATTTCAGAGAAAAGGACAAAAGGAGAATGAGAGGCAGGGGTTGGCGCTTGCACAGCTAAGTACCTGTAGCATCTGTCAATACGGCAGCAACGGCATGCCCCTCATATGCGCTCAAGACAGAGAGAGAGAGAACGGCAAAGGCCTCCGACCGCCTCAAGACACTGAAGATTCCCCGGTCGTCTGTATGGTGCGCTGCAGGCTTTGAAGAATAAAGAGAACGCACGCTGCTCTCCAACTCTTTCTTTGTCAGGCGCACTGCACACACAGCAACCCATAGAACCTCAGGCCTGAACCTTAAACCCCATCGGCGTGAAATGCAATAAGCAATGAACCCCCAGAAAGCCAGCGCATGCAGACAAACAAAAACAACGGGGGGGAAACTAACGAACACAGGAAACTAACAACAGAAAGCAAACCAAAGATGAGCACAGCCCAAGAAATAATGAGCATACACACACCTAACTCAGGCCACACGACCGAACTACGAGATACAAGCAAGGCAAATTAACAGAGCCGCGCACAACCGACAAACTGGCAAATGCTGACAAAATCAACTGATACAGGCAGAATAACAGCCGGTGTGGGCAAGAGAAACCACGGAAAACTCGAACAGAGTTAACCAAAACAAACCAGCAGAAACGAGGAAAAGAAGGATAGACAACGAACAAGCTTCAAACAAAAATGAGTACCCCGAGGGACACAATCCACGCAGACAGCGTCAGACGGAATAGACAGCAGGAAGCAAAGGCTGGAGGGAAGCGAAAAGCGACAGGGGCTGTTGAGAGGGAAGCCAGCAGCAGATGGGCCTGTTGCTCACAAGTTTGAATTTGTTTAACCTTCGATGCAGTATCTGTTGAATGATTGTCTACATCTGGAGGAGCGATAACAAAGGCAGTGACTGTTGAGTCCCCCCCCAACCCCCAAATGATGCCGCGCGCCTCATCCGCCTCCAGCTGCAGGAGCCCGCCGCGCGAACCACTGGTTGCCCTGCTGCTGCTGTTGTTGGTGGTGGTGCTGCTGCTGCTGTTGCTACTAGTGAGACCGAGAGAAACACACAGCGCCTTAAGTCCGCCTTTGATGCGATCTTTGAACGTAGGGTTGAGTGGCACCAGCTGACAGGAAACAAACCCTCCACTACCGTCACAATCCCTAAACCCTAAACCCTTACTGTCAGTTCTGTTAGGCGGCAGAACGGCACGGAGCGCTGCTTCTTCCCCCGCTGGCGTCGTCGATGTTGTCGCCGTTGCTGTGGCGGACGCTTCTGTGCCTTCATTCCTCCGAGATTTCTTGCTGCGAAAGAAGGAGAAACCCAAAGGCCCTGCGAAAGAGCCCCCTCCAGCGTCTGCTGCAGGTTTAAGGTCCAAATAATATACTTGATGCGTCACGGAAGAACCGAAAAAGACGATGCCACTTCCTTTGTGCGCTGCTGCAAGAGACAGAGGTGCAGTACCCTTGGGCTTTTCAGCAGCGCCAACCTCCGTATAGTCTAAGGAGGAGGCAGAGGGAGGTGCCCTGGGGGCCCCCAGTTGCTGCGTCATGAGGGTGGGGGCCCCTGCAGTAGGAGCCCCCGCGGAGACAGCGAAGAGCCGAACAGAATTTGAAACAGAAATCGCTAGGCAGTGGAGCGGAGAGGAGGAGACATCTGCATAGGGTGGGCTGTCTGTACACCCCGACGCGTCGAGATGTGCAGTAACGGAAAAAGCAGAGAGCGAGCCATCGCTCCAGCAAAAGGAATTCCTTAAAGCTGGCGGAAGCAGGGCCCTGTCCAGCTGTACGTACACTACAGACTCAACAGCATCTGGAAAAGAGAGCCGTTCTACAGCCTCCTCACCTGCCCCCAGTTCCCACAAATACAAATCGCCCCCCTCAGCCACCCACAAACGATTCAACTCAGGAATCAGCCCATGCGGCGGCAACGAACGACAGCAGCAAACTCTATTGCCTTCGTTACTGCTGCTGCACTCTGCAGCGCCGCATCGGCAGAGAAGTCGCGAAAGTATGGGGGGTAAGGGGATCGATTCGCTGGGACGTGTGAGGCTGAAGGCATTTCTGTTTTCTTCGTAGACTGCTTTGAAGAGGGGGGCCCCAATCCTGAACCCCCACGGGGCCCCCAAGAAAGGGGCCCTACCTGGACTGTCTAGTTGCAAGTTCTGCTCTTCCGACGAAACACCCCCCCACAGCAGCCGCACTGCTGCAGCAGCAAACTGAGATGATGGGCCCTCCAAGCACAATCCAGGGCTATTTGCTTCTGTTGCAGAGACACCTGAAAACGCATCGGCATTCACATCCACGGCCATCGCAGACCCACGTCGGGGCACTCCCTTGGGGGCCGCTCCCATGTAAGGAGAGGACCCTATGACAGATATCCGATGCTGTTCGTGCTGCTGCTGTTGTTGCTGCTGCTGGTGATGAAGCTGGTTATGGTGGTGATGGTTTTGCTGCTGTTGCTGTTGGGCATGGGAAAAGAAGCCCGATGCAGAGTGGGGCGCTACATTGCTGTGGCCTCCAACGTTGCCGCTAAGGGAACCCCCGTCTCCAGGAATGGTAGGGGGGGGCCCGAAGCCCGAGTGTCCAACGGCTGGGGGGGGGCCCACAGCAGAGGGTCCACCAAGGGCGAAGAAGTCAGTCCCCGCAGGGGACGCAAAAGTACTCATTGGTTTGTCATGAGGGGCCGCAGAGGGCCCTCAAGAGAAGCGCTTCAACCGACCAAAGCCTCCTTTTTTCTGTCTAGGGTTGGCCTGGGGCACGCTGAGTTCTGAGGGCCCCAACAGAGTTGTCCACAGCCGCCTACCTGCACGCAGGCGAACTAATTACCCGAAAGAGCCGCATGCAAGTAAACCACCAAAGAAGCCGGGAGAGCGCAGCACGGGGGGGCCGGGTTCGGGTGTACGTACAGCTGCGGGCTGCACACCGCTACGGTGCCCCCTGAAACTGCCGCTCTGGAAAATGGATTAAGGGGAGAACGCCAATCTATTTTCACTGGGGAAAAACTAGGGAAGCCTACATTTGTTTTCGCTTCTGAACCCTTGGGGCTGTACCGCGGTTCGGCGGCGCATGCGCAGCCAGCGTTGCATGCGAAGACAGCCGATCGAAATTATTTCATTGTGATTAGTTAAACGGCAAGAGACGTATTTTCGTTTGCAGAATATACGGGAAATGAAAGAACTGTTTCACAAGAGGACGGAGCGGGCCTACGGTTCGCCGCGACAGCTCGGATGTTTCTGTACCATGCCAACCAGTACATCGTGAACGCATTGCTGTCTTATTCTAACGAACTTCACGAGGGAAGAGGTACTCAACGAAGAAAAAGTTCGATCTTGCCTGCTTCTGTTTGTTTTGATCGGTGTTACAGCCGCGGTAATTAGCTAACCTAATTGGTAGCTGAGGACATTCATTTAGCTAGTGTTAGTGCTGCTGCTGTTGAAGAGAGGGGAGCGCCCCTACAGTTAACTAGCAGTTGTTAAAGACGCAGCTGGTTGGGTCTTTGTTGTATTACCTTGTGCTCGCATGCTCACAGTTGCCTGTACATTTCTGTTGGTGTGTTAGGCGTTGCACACAGATCCATTTATGTGCCCAAAAACATGAGTAGACTCTGGGATGTATACGGATGCATTTTCTGTCAGCTTATATTTATTCGCATGTGCTTGTCACACATCAATATCGGCAACGTCGCCGAAGACTGCCTTCAGACAGTCTCGGGTGAGTTCCTCAATTGTCTCATCTTTGAACCGCCAGAAAGAAACGCTCTTTTCTAGCAACCGCATGTTGTAGCGGTGGCTGTCATTGTTGCTTCTTCCGTTGCTGCTTTCCAGGTCTCTGCCTACACCGTGGCGCTGTAGAATAGGGCGTTGTACCTCAGGCAGATACTTTCGACAGCGAAGAACAACACGCCGGTAGTCAAAATCCGCGAGGCTCCGCAGTTCCTTCAGTTTAGAGGCCACAGGCTCCGACTGAATGTACACCCCAACGCACCATTTCGCATTTCCTCTACTGCTGTGCAAGTTTGAGATACAAATGAGATGAAACTTGGGAGGGCACGTAGGATTGAGGTGGATAAAGAGCGAACATAATTGCAGACATGTAGATACAGAATACTTCCACTTGAACAGGGCCTTTGTGTTTTGTGTTTGGGGCTTGGGGATTGGCCTATTAGGGCTTTGTAGCGCAGCTTAGCCAATGTGGTAGAGATATACTGCATTTTCGTAGTGTTGATTCCTTCAACTTACGGTGTATGCGTCAAGCAAGTCAATAAGGATCTCTTGTGTCGTTTCGAGACTGAGCGGAGGTTCTTCTTTCTTCTCTTTGCACCTTCTTGCTCTCTTTTCCGTTGCAAAAACACAGACAGAACCCAAGAGAAAAAAATGCATGAAGTGGGAACGGCTGACAGACTGGTCAACCTGTTTGCAGTGTCCGTATACGTAACACGTCGGGGGCGGGTAGCGCCTCTGCGCAGGCGATTGCTTTAAGCAGGAGTTGACTTGGCTCCTGTAATTTTGTGTGTGTATAGGCTTTAAAGTACAAGTGAACGTAACATCTGTCCCAGGAATGTGCAACTGCGATGCATGTGTTGAGTTGAGTGTTGCGGTGTATGTACAGTTTCGTTATCCGGAGTTATTGCCTGATCGCTTATTGGTTCATCAATCGGGTAGCTTTCTGAATTATGCCTATATTTGTTGGTTTGCTTGTTAGAGAATAAGTGTTCTGATGCCTTGCTGGGCGGCAGTCTGAAGTCGGCATTTTCTGCTTCTGCATGCAGCGGCGTGTGTAGTCTGGAGTCGTTTTCCGATTCTTCTGTTTCTTCTGCCGGTGCGAGGCGGGGGCCTTGCGCTTCTCGGTGCCTGTCTCTGGAGAACAAGCAGCCGCTGATGCTTCTGCTGAGAGTCTTCCTTGCGTCTTCTGCACTTGTATTCAAAACTCGTCTCAGCTCCTGCAACCCCAGTCTTGCTGCATGCACTCCCTCGTTTGTTGAATATGGGCTCTTGAGAATAAACATGAAGTCATCTTTTGCGCTCTTCGTCATCCCCAACAACAAGTAAGCTTTACCCCTCCGGTATCGGGCTTTCGCGTCGTGTTCATCGAGATCCTGTAGAACAGTGGTGCATGCACCTGAAGTTGCAGCGAACAAAGCAACGATGAGATTAGCAGCCTGCACTGTCTCTTCCAACTCCCCTTTAGAATGTATGTATGCATCCATCCATCCGTTAGGCAACTATAGCAGAGGAACAAACATCACAGTCTCTGCTAGAGCAGCAGACAAAACAGCAAGCAGTTAGAGCAACAGCGTCGACAGGAGCAGCAACAAAAAAGCAGCAGCCACAACAGCGGCGGACGAATTGCTTCTTGGTATTTTCCAAGTTTGAGTGCTGCCTGGGCTGTATTTTTGAGGAAGAGCGAGTACATATCTTCTACGCGCTTTTGGTTTTGGCTGTCCGTAGCCTCAACCCAGTTCAAGAGTTCGACTCCCTGCTTAAATCTCATGTAGGCCATTTCCATGTCTCCTGCAACAAACGCCGCTCGCCCTTCACGTAACAGCCGTTCTCCAAAGGCCAGATGCTCCTCCAGAGCTGCTCCTTCTAGAGGTCGCTTTCCTTTAGATATGCCTGAAAAAAACACCAAACGCAGTAGTAACAACAGCACCAATAGCAGCAGGCGCTGTGCCAGGCGAATGCTACTGAAGCGGCACAACACGGCCATCCGCCAGAAGGCGGGGCTCTGGCCTCTCAATACAGAAGACATGCAACAAGTAACCACTTGAAGCGACACCAGCAACAGCATCCGCGCCAGCAACAACAGCAGCCGCCCCAGCAACACCAGCTAGAGCAGAACCAGCAAGAACAGCCACAATGGATCGTAAGTATACAATCGAGTATAAATTCTACTACCACTATATACGCGAGCACTAAAATTGCTCACCCTCAACAGCATCGACAGTCAACTTAATGTCCTAAGACAACGAAAGCACCAGAAATCGGGAAAATCATACCAGGAATCCACTCATTTCTTGGACAGATCTCTCCTTTTGCCATCCTCTCCGCCAGTTCTTCCTGTGGCAAATCTTTCCAAGTTCGATGTTTTAAGTATTCCAATTCCGCCGCTTCCAGCGGTCTTGTAGCTTCTTCGTGCAGCTCTTGTTGCTGCTCCTCCTGCCGGCAAACTGCAGACACCGCGCACGCCACCGGAAGCGATTCCAAAAAGGCAAAAGCATCGGCATGAGGATACAACCTGCTCAACAAAAGAAAATGATTGAACAAGCTCAAAGTAATATGCTATTGCTTTCTCAGGAGAAAATAGTCACTCAGTTTAAAACACTGGCAAAACTCAAGCTGTCCACATCAAGCATTCCATCTATTCCCCTTTTGCCCCTAGTTCTGAACTTCAAGTCTTTCGTTTGTTTTGGACAATTTCAACCATCGGCTTGCCTGGAAAAGAAGCATGGACGATTCGAAAAGGGGGAGTGTGCTTACAGGCTTGGGGGTCTCTCCTGAATTCTTCAGCTTTCTCTTGAATAAGGGCAGCAAGGGCTTGGTCACTAGACATTCTCTCGCTGAATGCGCTGGGATTCCGCTCGGCAGCTAGCAGGCAGTCGTGTAAGCGCTCTAACAGTCCTGGGGATTTGAAAATTGGCAGCAGGAGGTTCTGCTGTTCAGGTGTACAGCCAAGTAGGGCGCGTTCGAGTTCCGCCACCTTTGCAGACCTTTGTGCCACCATGCAGCAGGCCTGGTGATCCAGCACAAGAGACAGAAAAACATATACCTCAATGGTCCATTGAATCCAGTGGAGTGAATCCCGTCTCATCTCTTGGGAGTCAAGGATGAAGGACAGAAAAAGGCAAATACACGCACTCACAGTTTCCTTCTGCAAATGTTTCTGTTCCTCCCGCAGCCGGCGTTGCTCCTTTGGGCGACGTAGGAAGCCCTGCCAGTACGCCTCGCATTCGTGCATCGCCATTTTAAAAAAGCCTATTCAGGCTCCTGCAGTTCGCTTTTCCCTGCGTGTATTTGTTTGAACAACACTCTTCCTTCCCTTGGTTGAGCTGTAGGCAATACGTCGGCTGCGCTCCTTACTGCCCTGGTTTCACGCTTCTCGGTGGGAGTACACCAGCACATATGGACGCAACTATCATGCTATTCTCGAAGACGGAGCTTTTCAAAGGTAATTTGCGAGTAGAAGACTCTTTCGCTGCTGGACACTGCACTGGTTCGCAGCAGCAGCTTCGCTTTGCAGGAGAAGCAATGCCTGCTCGGCTGACGTCTCGTCTTTGAGTTATACGGAAGAATTATCCTTTCTGCATTAGAAAAAACCTTTAGACATATTAAACACATATTTCGGGATAGGCGACACAAAATACTCTTCTCTTCTCTGCTTTCTCTGAAAGCGCTCATCGACGAGCAGCAGCATAACGCGCCGCCGCAGGCACGGAGACGGCGGAGTTGCCCTAAGCTGAAACTGGCAGCACTCCTTTATTTTGCCCTTCCAATTGATAAACCTAAGACTAAGTAGAAGAAATCAATGATAGAAGTAAGGTTGGAAGTAGAAAGAGGTTTGCACTGCCGCTCCTGCCTGTGAGTCGTGACAACCGCCAGTCAGTGGTCGTCACCAGCCTCGACCGCAGACATGCAGAAGACAGCTACCCCTTTCTTCCCTTTGGGGAAACTTCCATTGCAACATGTTGGAGGGAATGTGGAAGAGAACTGTAAGTGGGCCCTATTTAAAGCTGAGCAACTCTCGTATGCTCCAGTCCCGTCTCCTGTACGAGTGACGGCAGAGGTGACCCTGCCCCTTTCCTCCAAGATTAACTCTGCTTAAAGAGGGCACATACCTCATTTAGGGAAGGAGAGCATACGCCTAACCCTAAGGTCTAGACAGAAATAACGTCCATATATGTGTAAGAAAATTAACCTAGGCTGCAGACAGAAGCGGCTTGATCCCCAAGCCCAGGAACTTGAGGGTGGTCTTGAGATAAGTTCTCTGCGCCTAGCCAGCCTCTCCCAAACCATAGGCTCCCTTACGCTATCACATGCAAATGCATTTGTGAAGCAGCAGCAGCCGTGGAGCTGCTTTGCCTGTGCGGCAGCGGCCTTTAGAACCTTAACGTTGCCGCCGCCTCATCTTGGTTGCTGCAGCACCACCAGCACGCCCTACGGGCCTTGGCACCAAAGCGACTCTGTACTGTAAACAGGCATTGCAGATGTAAACCCTCGTATGGCCCATTCATTGTTTTCTAGGGAGGGGGCCTCAGCTCAAAATGCCGGGCTTCCTGTTGTTGCAACAGCCCAACGCTTCAACCCATGCAAATGGGGCAGTACAGGTAGCTGAGTTGAAAGGCTGGTGCTGTTGATGTCAGTAGATAGCTGTGGCTGTCGGTAGCTACTGGTGCAAACGCGTTGCTAGCTTGTTTTGGCCGTCGTCTCTCCAGTGTACATACATGCTCGAGATGCCTGTGCGGCGGCTGTCCTCTAGAATGTATTAGGGCCAACGGGACCGTGAGGGTCCCCAACTTTACCGTGTTTCCTGTCGGTTTCTGTTTTGGATATGCTGTTTGCATGCTGTAGTCATACAAATGGTAGATGAAAAACGATGTGCAGCTGGGTACAGCATCTCTGCTGCCTCACCAGTCAAGATCGGCCAAAAGTGCGTATGCACTCGGAGGCTGCTGCTGCTGCCCACTTTTGCTGCTGCTGCCAGCAGCATAATGACTCGTCTGCTTCGCGTCACCTTCTAAAAAAATTGGCCCCTGATTAAGACCCCCTTGCAAGGACTTTGAAGGCTCCAGAGTGAAACTGATATTGCTGCTGCTGCTGCTACAAATGTTATTGGTGTTGCTGCTATTGGTGCTGCCGCCGCTGTATGCAAAAGCTGAACCAGTGTCCGCAACCGCAAAGGAGGACGCTGAACTCAGCATTAGGGAGTCTGCAGCAGAACCTTGGGGCCCTCCAGCTTGCGCTGCCCCCAGCATACTTGTCATCAATTGCTGCCAGTTTTGCTCCTGCTGCTCCTGCTCCTGCTGCTTTTGCTTTTGTTGCTCCACGCCTGGAAGATGCTGCTGTTCCCCGTGACGTGAATCCTGCCACTGCTGCGCCTGTTGCAGCTGGTGTTGCTGGTGCTGATGCTGGTCGATTTGATGCTGCTGTAGCTGCTGGTGTTGCTCACTACTGCACAGCATCCGCCTATGCTGCTTTTGCAGCCTCTTCTGTTTGTTGAAGGAGGATCCCCTTGCAGGTGCTTCGGCATCTATCAGCATCTGCATCTGCTGCTGGTGTTGTTTGTGTGGCTCCATTAGTACCACCATCTGCTGTTGCTGCTGTTGATGCTTCTGCCGCTTTTGCCTCGCACACCTGAGGGGACCAATGACACTACACTGCTGCTGCCCGCAGAGTTTGCATACCGCGACCTGCAGAGGGGAGACGAAAATAAAATACGCAAGTCCACAAGAAGAAAAGAACGCAACAGCAAATAGTAGTATTTATAGAAAGGCAGGAATAATAATAGGGATGCCACCCTAGACAACAGTAGTCACAGCAGTAAGAACACCAAGCACAATAACGAAAACAATAAAAGGGAGAAAAGCCAGAACGAAAACCCATTAATTTTGCCTCCAAGAGTGGTATGAATTGATGTTGCTACTGAGACCCACAACCGACGAAGATGCAGTAAAAGCCAACAACCCATCAACCGCAACTCCACGCAATCCAGCAGCAAATTGCTGCTGCTGCAGCAGCTGCTGCCTGCTTCGTCGCAACACTGCAGCACAAATCAGCAGCCGCAGCAGCAACATTAGCAGTTAAAGGAGGAGGAGCAGCAGTGGGTCGTGTTGCGGATTCTACCAGATTCCACCGGCGACCGTTGTGGGTGTACTCCGCATAACACACGCAGAAGGTGCAGCAGCTGCATGCGTCGTGCTGCTCTGCTCACTCCGTCGACCCCACGCTGCGAGAGGCATCAGCGGCTGAGTAGCAGAAGCACACGTCAACAACGGCACCAGAGGGACCCCACACCCTCGGCACAGGCCTTCAAGCGCCTTTGCTCCTACTTCTGCAGCGCATGCATGAGACGCAGCACGAGCAGCACAGGAGAGATGCTGCAAAAGTGCCGCATGCAGGAGCAGCAACAACAGCAGCAGCACACGCAGCAACAGCAACCAGCAACCAAGAGGAAACAGCAACGGAGACTGCGCCTCCCTACATAAGCAGAGGCCTGAAATTCTCCAAAACAGAATAAAAATACGTAAAAGATAAACGCATACGAAAACAATAATAAGCAAGCACCAAACATGTAAATATACAACAAGCATGTAAACAAACAAACATACCAGTCAACACAAACGAACAAAAATGCAAGCAAGCAAGCAAACAGAAGAATTTAAATAAAGCTAAACAAACAGATAAACAGACAAACAAACAAGCAATCAGATCAGTTACCGATGCTATAGTGCTGCGCCATTTCTTTTGCCCGCCGCCTGCACACAAACGAAAGCAGCAAACTGTTGCTGCTGCCGCAATTCCTACTGCTGGTGGTGTTGGCTGCTGCTGCCAATGCTGCTCTTACTGCTACTGCTGCGGCAACTAATACAGCGCTGCAGGAGAGATGTGCATACGAATAAGCAGCAGAAAGACGCGGTGCGACTGCTGCTAGCCGCCGTGCCGAGGCTTCTAGCAGCAGAACAGTTGCCTTTCCCCTTGCTGCTGCTGCTGCTGCGGGATTCGGGGCTTCTGTTGCTTCCTGCTGAAACCCTGTTAGAGTCTCCCGCAGAAACTCCACCTGCTGTGGGGTAAACAAAACATGCTGAGTCTGGTGCTGCAGCTGCTTCTTCTGCTGCCACTGCTGCGGCTGCCATTGCTGTTTCTGTTTGGTAACTTGCTTGTGCAACTGCTGGTTTTGCTGTTGTTGTTGTTGCTGCTGTTGAGGGACTCGACGAACAGGCCAGCAGCTCTCTTGCTGCTGATAATCCCTAGAGTCCTCTTTCTGCAACTGATGTTGCTTAGTTGCCTGCTTCTGCTGCAGTGACTTTGGTTGGCGCTGCTCCGCTGCCTCTGGCTGTAGCTTCTCCGCTGCCTCTGGCTGCTGCTCTGCTGCCGCTGGCTGCTGCTCTGCTGCCGCTGGCTGGTGCTGCCCTGCTGCCGCTGGCTGGTGCTGCCCTGCTGCCGCTGGCTGGTGCTGCTCTGCTGCTGCTGGCTGGTGCTGCACTGCTGCCGCTGGCTGGTGCTGTTCTGCTGCCGCTGGCTGGTGCTGCTCTGCTGCCGCTGGCTGGTGCTGCTCCGCTCCAGCTGGCTGCTGCTTCTGCTGCAGCGGCTCGCAAGAACCGACTAACCGATGCTGTTGCTGTTCTCGATGATTCTCCGCCTGGTGGGCAGGAGGGCCCTCTTCCGGAACTTCAGTTCGTCTCCTCTTGCGTTTCCTTTTATTACCATTTTTCATGACAACAAAATCCTGAGCATCCGTTGCACCACCAGCAGTCGCAGGGCCTTGTTCCACTATCTGCTGTTGTTGTTGCTGCTGCTGTGGCTGTCGTTGTTGCACCTGCTTTTGCTGCTGCGGCCTCTGTTGACTTGTCTGCTTTTGTTGGTGAAGCACTTTTCCGTGTAGATTCTGCGTTTGCCAGTGCTGCGTCTGCTGTTGCGTCGGCTGCACCTGAAGCTGTTGCCCTTCCTGTTGGTTCCCTCGTTTCTGCTGCTGCTGGCCACCTTGTTGTTGCTGGTGCTTGGTTGCAACATCCTGCTGGTTTGGTTGCTGCTGCTGCTGCCGCTGGGGCCGCTGCTGTTGCAGGTTCTCTTGTTGCTGATGTTGCTGTTGTCGACCGAAGGTCTTCCCCAAGTTTCCAGCTCGCCCCGCTGCTGCCCGCAGTGCCAGGGCTGCTGCTATGAGGGAAGCCATGGAACCTGTCTGTAGTGCCCTGTTGAAGACGGGGGCCCTTCGATGTATCCCGCTTCAGAACCGGGGGCCCCTCCCCTGCTACAGAGGGAGTTAGGGGGCCCTCAGCATAGCGGCCTCTTCTTCTCCCCCTGAAAATCACCAAAATAAAAATAAAACAAAATTATTCTGACAAAAACAGAAGTCCCTTCTTGTAACGTAGCGGAGGGCAGCATTGTGGGGCCCTCCTCACGGGGCCCCCGTCAACCGACAAGGGGCGTTGTTTGTTCAGGGACAAAATGGGTCCTTTTAATTTGAGAAATCAAGCAATAAATAATAGCTTCATTATTATATATATGTATAAACACGTTTTATTTAAAAATGAGGTTATTTGGGCCTGAAGTACGAAACAGTCTCCCGCTTCTTTGTCCTTTTCGCATTATTCAACCTTGGTTGCACGCTCGTAGCATTTTTTGTTGAATTTCTTCGTCCAGTTTATATCTAAATGCAAATGGTGCAAGTAAGGCCGTTTGCAAGCTGACTTTGGTCATCTTCAGCAAATGGAGGCGACGGCATCCAAAACAAACACTTTCGCGTTAGAAAAATATCATAAAGCGCATGCACATAAAATAAATTGACTAAATATCTGTCGTGTGCAAGCGGCTGTGGAAGTAGGGATTGTGGCGGTCCATTTATGTGCATATGTGCATATGCGTTTATACCTATGCACTTACACCTACGCATCTGCACTTCTTATATATATATATATATTATATATATAT